ACAACGACCTTTGCTTTTTGGTTTTTGTTGATTGATAACGCGTGCTTGACGTGGCAAAATCCGGCAGTTTCTATGTGTATGTGTGTACACGCACGTATATCTTCTGTATTTGTAAATTTGTTTGCAAAATACCAGAAATGTTCTAAGTCTCGCGGTTTTTACAAAATCAAAATATTGCAGAAAACCCCAATAAAATCGACCCTGGCCCCTGATCCTCTCATTCCATTGGTCTTACTACTGTTGTACTGAGCGTTGTACATTTAGTAGATATTTACATAATAATCTCTAATAATTTATGCCACATAGCCAACATATAGCGCATATATCACATACTGCCATACCAACACAGGCTACATCATATGCTACATAACCAGCATATATCACATACTGCCATATCAACATATGCGCCATAAAATATTTCTCACGTAATGTCAATCAGTTGCATGACTGTAGTTATATAGTGTACATATAAGATCTAGTGCAACAGGATCATCATTCATATTTGACTTGTGTAATACAGTATACTTGAAGTTTGTACGATGACTAGTAAGCCGGCTACACCAGCTACACCGAAAGTTAAGGGTAGAATTGTCGATGTTAACGCAACACCCATGAGAATGACCCCCAAACGAGAAGCAAAGTCTAATAATCCGTACTGTACAAAGTATGATGATGATCAAGCCGCAGACGGTGAGGATAGCAGCAACCGTAAACGGAAGTTGTCTGGCCACAGCAGCGACCGACCAAACAAAACTCTTGGCCTTGGAGGTAAGGAACCCAAGAGTAAGGAAGAAAAGGGTTTACCTGAAGGTAAGGAGGAAAGCCAAAGCCAAAGGGTTTGCCTAATATACCCTATGAAGAGAGGGTTCATGCGCACGAGCATGAGATAAAGACAGGTACCCTATTTTGCTACCCGATAGAAAGCTGTACCGTGTTCAGAATGTGGAGCAGGATGACAATTGTCTTCCAAGAGTTGTGTGCGAGCATTCCGAATTGAAGACCATGGTTATACCAAACCATATGGTACTGAGGGAAAACGTGGCGACGTGTGACAACGATATATTTCTGGAGTATGCACAGAATCTTTTCTTTTCCAGCGAGCAAGACTGGAAGGCAGTCCTTGCAAAATGGAGGTCTGATATGATTAAGTCTGGCACCTGAATGGATTTAGACATGTTTATTATGTATGGCATTGATAGCTGTACGTGGCGCGTGAGATATAATAGTAATGTGAGAGTGACGACATCTTAATACTTAACTTGGAATTTGACGTCCAGAAGTTTTAGGCAATTGGCTTATTCTGATGAGGCTAGAGGTCACGTGAATGCCTGCCTCGTAGCTGGTAGGATTAAAGATCAACATCTACAATCAGCCCCAATTTCACTTCATGTGACATCGCCGCCGAAAGAACTGGTTTGTACGTATATTAAGTATG